TACATCTTACACAGCCCCATGTTACAAAACCATTAGAGAAATGTCTCCCAATTGTCCTATTTGTATATTTAAATCTCTAACTTGTTATTTTTTTAGTTGTTTTACAAGTATACTTTGACTATCTATGATTTGATGTGTTTTGTTATGTTTTTCTTGGCATTGAATGTTTGCTAACTTTTGTTGTAAACCGCCCCTAGTCCCTTCTGGGAGATAGGGCGAGATATAAATAAATAAATAAATAAATAACAACAATAATAATTTTTATTATAACTGTGTGGTTTTCTGTCATTGTATATTTCTGCTGCTTCTGTGACTGTTCATTTGTATTTTGATTTAAATTGCTGGGCATATTTAGCCTGAAGAAGAGAAGGCTGAGAGTAACAATGGCTTCAAACTACAAGAAAGGAGATTCCATCTGAACATGAGGAAGAACTTCCTGACTGTGAGAGCCGTTCAGCAGTGGAACTCTCTGCCCCAGAGTGTGGTGGAGGCTCCTTCTTTGGAGGCACCACAATTCAAGAGAGATATTGACAAGCTGGAATGTGTCCAGAGGAGGGCGACTAAAATGATCAAGGGTCTGGAGAACAAGCCCTATGAGGAGTGGCTTAAGGAGCTGGGCATGTTTAGCCTGAAGAAGAGAAGGCTGAGAGGAGATATGATGTTGTTGTTGTTCATTCGTTCAGTCGTCTCCGACTCTTCGTGACCTCATGGACCAGCCCACGCCAGAGCTCCCTGTCGGCCGTCACCACCCCCAGCTCCTTCAAGGTCAGTCCAGTCACTTCAAGGATGCCATCCATCCATCTTGCCCTTGGTCAGACCCTCTTCCTTTTGCCTTCCACTTTCCCCAGCATAACTGTCTTCTCTAGGCTTTCCTGTCTCCTCATGATGTGGCCAAAGTACTTCAACTTTGTCTCTAGTATTCTCCCCTCCAATGAGCAGTCGGGCTTTATTTCCTGAATTATGGACTGGATGAATCTTCTCGCAGTCCAAGGCACTCTCAGAACTTTCCTCCAGCACCACAGTTCAAAAGCATCTATCTTCCTTTGCTCAGCCTTCCCTATGGTCCAGCTCTCACATCTGTAGGTTACTACAGGGAATACCATGGCTTTGACTAGGCGGATCTTTGTTGCCAGTCTGATGTCTCTACTCTTTACTATTTTATCGAGACTGGACATTGCTCTCCTCCCAAGAAGTAAGCGTCTTCTGATTTCCTGGCCACAGTCTGCATCTGCAGTAATCTTTGCACCTAGAAATGCAAAGTCTGTCACGGCCTCCACGGTTTCTCCCTCTATTTCCAGTTGTCAATCATTCTTGTTGCCATAATCTTGGTTTTTTTGACGTTTAGCTGCAACCCGGCTTTTGCGCTTTCTTCTTTCACCTTGATTAGAAGGCTCCTCAGCTCCTCCTCGCTTTCGGCCATCAGAGTGGGGTCATCTGCATATCTGAGGTTGTTAATGTTTCTTCCAGCAATTTTCACCCCAGCTTTGCATTCATCCAGCCCCGCACATCGCATGATGTGTTCTGCATACAAGTTAAAAAGGTTGGGTGAGAGTAGGCAGCCTTGCCGTACGCCTTTCCCAATCTTGAACCAGTCTGTTGTTCCGTGGTCATGATAGATATGATATGATATGATAGCCATGTATAAATATGTGAGAGGAAGTCACAGGGAGGAGGGAGCAAGCTTGTTTTCTGCTTCCCTGGAGACTAGGATGCAGAACAATGGCTTCAAACTACAAGAAAGGAGATTCCATCTGAACATGAGGAAGAACTTCCTGACTGTGAGAGCCGTTCAGCAGTGGAACTCTCTGCCCCAGAGTGTGGTGGAGGCTCCTTCTTTGGAAGCTTTTAAACAGAGGCTGGATGGCCATCTGTCAGGGGTGATTTGAATGCAATATTACTGCTTCTTGGCAAGGGGGTGGACTAGATGGCCCATGAGGTCTCTTCCAACTCTATGATTCTATGATTCTGTAGTCCACTTGTCAATGGATGTCCAGAATGAGCAGCATCCACCGCGGTCCTTTTTTATCCTGGCTGATGACCGAGCCAATGGAGCTTCCAGTGGCGCAGTGGGTTAAACCCTTGTGCTGGCAGGACCGGAGACCGACAGGTCACAGATTTGAATCCAGGGAGAGCGTGGATGAGCTCCCTTTATCAGCTCCAGCTCCTCATGCAGGGACATGAGAGAAGCCTCCCATAAGGATGGTAAAACATCAAAACATCCGGGCATCCCCTGAGCAACATCCTTGCACACGGCCAATTCTCTCACACCAGAAGTGACTTGCAGTTTCTCAAGTCACTCCTGACACGACAAAAAAAAACTGAGCCAGTATAGACTTTATTTTGGTTTGTTTCTCCATATTGCTAATGGCTTAGGTGCTCTTACTTCCTCAGCTGAGACCTCTCTGAATTGGTTGGATCTGCTGGTAGTTACACTACCACCAACACAGCTCTCAGCATCCTTGGAGCAGTTAAGCCCTCCACCACAACAAGCTGGCACCCATTCGGGGGTGAAATCTCGCAAAATTTCACATCTGCTGTCATGGATGACCTGAAGCTGTTTGGAAAACCAAAACTGAAATCCAGCCTCTGACTAACACTCTCTGAATCTTTAGCACTGATATCAGCATGGAGTTTGGTTTGGACAAATGTTCGACAGTGGCACTGAAGAAGGGAAATATCATTGAAACTGAGGGCATAAATATGCCCAAGGGCCAAGCGATAAAGTGTCACCAGGCAGAGACCTATAAATATCTGGGCATACTACAGCTGAACAACATCAAACATGAACATGTGAAAACTGTGGTTAGCAAAGAATATACTCAAAGGACCAGAAAAATTCTCAAAAGCAAGCTCAATGGAGGCAATACCATCAAGGCCATAAACACCTGGGCCATACCTGTCATAAGATACATGGCATCATAAACTGGACACATGCAGAACTGGACAATTTGGACAGAAAAACAAGAAAACTCATGACCATTCTTAATTCACTGCATCCTCGCAGTGATATTGACCGTCTATATCTGCCTAGAAGGTCTGGTAGCAGAGGACTTTTACAAGTCAAGCAAGCATTTGAAGAAGAAAAACATGCCCTGGCAGAATATGGAAAGGAAAGTGAAGAACCTGCTTTGATTGAAGTCAATAATCAGAAACTTCTCAAAGCACAGTAGACGAAGAATTAGTACAAGAAAACTGTGCTACAAACCAGAGCTGACAGCTAGCACAACAAAGCATTGCATGGGGAGTTCCTTGACAAAATTGAAGGAAAAGTTGATAAGGAGAAGACCTGGTACCCTCTCCATGCAATGATCCTTTACTTATCCATGGATCATTCCTGCCCTCGACTTATATACGAGGCCATGATATTATATGTCAGCGGTTCCCAACCTTTCTTTGACCAGGGACCACTTGACCAGGGACCTCTCTCCAACGTTAGTATAAAAATGGTTACAAATCAGGTTTTGGTCAACTTTAGATTCAGCTTAGATTTGGGGTGCTATTTCAGAAAATTGTATTGGATAGACCACATCGGTTCTAGTTTCTGATACAGAGCATATGACATCCAGTAGTCACCATCTGCTCAAGCTGCAGACCTTATTTTAGGTCTCACAGCCCATCAATGGGCCATGGCCCACAAGTTGAGAACTACTACTCTATGTGCTTGATTATTAGCTCTGCTTTTGAATTATCACATAAGTATATGGAATGCATGAAGATGTGCATTGCTGAATGTGCTTTATCATTAGCTCTGCCCCCTCCATAGTCCACCACTCTAGTCGATGCACATTTCCTTGGGCATGGCATTTCTAGATGAACCTTCAAAGATTTGTTGGGAAAGGAATCAGCTGTCTCCTTTAAGTGTATGCCTAGAAACTCTGTGTACTTCTCAGTGTTGGAGATAAATGCCATCATAAAAAATAGCTTGATTAGGGAAGCATTCCCCCATATAATTCCCATCAGCTGAATTGAAAATAGTGCTAACATTAAATCAGGCCTAGTTCTGCTCCTTGCTTTCATCCTGGGCTCAAAAGTAGCTGGCAAGAGGCAGCTCTCTGAACGGTTATGTTCTTCGCGCCATGTCGATAGCATCACATTTCTTCCTGCGCTAATAATATTCCCATATCCACCCCCAAACAATTAGCTTAATCCAATTAGAGAGACCCAAGACAATATTTCTTAATCCAATCTTGTGATTTAGTCTGCAGTCCTATTCCAGAGTTCATTCTTAGTTTAAACTCTTCATGGAAAGAGAGATATATAAACGTTATTATTTCCCTGTGGCTTTTCTGGCTTTGGAAACACATTGGCGCAGGAGAAAGAAGGAAGATATAACTATTAGGGTTGGAAACAGCATTGATTTTGTTTTTCAAAAATGTGTAAAAACATGTCTAAAATGAGAAGAATTTTAGACTAATGAGAATCTTGACAGTTTGAGATTTATTTTGCACAAAATTCACACTTGGTTTGTAGGCAAAACAGTAATTTGTGTGTGTGCAAGGTGTGACATCTTACAGAAAATGACACTTTTAGTCGTAAACATTATTTCCTTTGAGAAATTGTTTCCTCTGTTTTGTAAAATGATTTCCGAAGAAGGACAGCAATAACTAAAAATATACAGACACACTTTCCAAAGGTAGAAATAGATTGAGATTGAAATTACCTTATTATGCTACAAGTATAAAGTCATGTAGTTAGTTGATGGAGGAAGAAGAGGGAACTTGAAGTTCTTTGAACTGTAAATATAACTCAAATTACACAACTAAACCACAAATGGAAAGAAATTATCCTTCATTAAGCTGTGCTTATAGAGCCAGTTCATTATTAGGAGGAAAAGATATACGCACAGTGGACTGCATGGATATATTTGCGTATAAATGTGGGGAAAATATGTTTTGGGACAGGGACACTGCTGGGATGCATCCCCAAGGTGCCATGTAGCCCCCATTCGATTTGACAGTTGAGTAACCAAGATAAGAGAAGTAGAACTTTCTTGCACTGACCTCAATCTGCTGGATGGCTTCTTCTCTCTGCCGGATGGCTTCCAAATCCTCCTCGGTGATTTCAGAGAGCAGGGCATGCTCCTGGTTCTGCTCAGGCCACATGCTGTCTCCTCCATTGAAGATCTTCTCATCATCAGCCAAGTCAGAGAAAGGGGTCTTAGGACTCTGTTGAAAGACAGGGACAAAGTAGATGCTCAGTTGACAGGATTCAGGACTTTATTGCATGAGGCAAACCAACTAATATTGGAGCTTGACCAAGATTGATGGTGTACTCTCCTACCCCCAATTCTCCCGTCTTTCTAATCCCACAATGTTGGATGCAATTATTCCTTTCTACCTCTGACAGAAAAGTGATGTCAGGAGGCAGGATTCGCCTCTTCTTCCCCATCCCTTTTGTAAGACAGGAATTGTAAAATTATTAAAAACTAGCTGTCCCCTGCCACGCATTGCTGTGGCCCAGTCTGGTGATCTGGAAAATAAAGTAATGGGAAAATGTTGGTTTCTAATATATGCAATGTCTTTATGCTTGAGTGTAAATAGTATTTCTTACAGTTTCTTTGCCAGTGTTGATGTGGAGATTGTGTGGTTTGCCTACTCTGGAACATGCAACATATCATAGTCCTTCTTTAAGGGTCTCTTTCAAATCTATGATACTATATCTCTCTCTGTGTGTGTGAGAGAATCATATCTATCTATCTATATTTATGACTGGATGGCTCTGATTACATTATTAGAAATCCCAAATGTCTATTTCCTTCAAACTCCATCTGTGTTCATATTTGGGCATATGGAACATTCGTGCCAAGTTTGACCCAATTCCATCATTGGTGGAGTTCAGAATGCTCTTTGATTGTAGGTAAACTATAAATCCCAGCAACGACAATTCCCAAATGACAAAATCAATTTTTTTTAGTGGAGGACATACATTGGGTTGTTAGGTGTCTTGTGTCCAAATTTGGTGTCAATTCCCCCAGTGGTTTTTGAGTTCTGATGGTATCACAAACAAACATTACATTTTTATTTATATAGTCTAGCTGTCTCCTGCCACGTGTTACTGTGGCCCAGTCTGTGTATATTTATTTATTTATTTATTTATTTATTTATTTATTTGTTTATTTATTTGCAGCATTTATATTCCACCCTTCTCACCCTGCAGGGGACTCAGAGCGGATTACAGTGTACACATATATGGCAAACATTCAATGCCAATTTTTGACATACAAACATATACAGACATAGACAGAGGCTATTTAACTTTTTCTGGCCGCCAGGGGAGCTGTCGCTTTCATCGTCCATCTGCGACGCTGATGAAGCACTTCCTCATTCCCCGCATGCTGCTGGAATGCTTTGCTGGAGTCTTTTTATGGCCTCATAAATTAGTTAATTTAGCCTCCCCACACTTTAAGGTGGTACCTAATTTTCCTGCTTGACAGATGCAACTGTCTTTCGGGTTGCAAAGGTCGACAACAGGCTACACAATTGGTTGGAAACCCACTCCAACCCAGGCTGGCTTCGAACTCATGACCTTTTGGTCAGAAGTGATCTTAATGCAGCTGACACTCAGCCAGCTGCGCCACAATCCCAGTATATGTGTTTTCTGTTTGTATATATGCGTATATGTGTGTACATATTTGTTTATATGTGTGTTTGTGTATACATGTGGTTTTGTGCATGCGTGCTGTGGCCCAGTCTATGTATATGTGTTTTGTGTGTGTGTGTATGTGTGTGTGTTTGTGTATATATGCCATTTTGTGCATGTGTTGTAATGCAGGGTTTTTTTGCTTTTTAAGTCTCTTCTGCTGTGTTTTTCAGTGTTTTGATGAGTGATGGTCACTTGTTGGCCTGAGAGGTGTCTTGTGTCCAAATTTGGTGTCAATTCGTCCGGTGGTTTTTGAGTTATGTTAATCCCACAAACGAACATTACATTTTTATTTATATAGATGAGGAACAAATATTAAAAATTGTTATGGAACAGTTGTAGTGTGGGGAGGTGGGATTAGGAGGATATGTGAAAATATAATTGCATGACCACAAAAATGGTGAATCAGTATAATTTCATAGTTAAAGAGAGTTGCAATATTGAAGGTGTTCAATCTTGTATGCATTCACTATCAATGGCAGTGTGACTGTAGAGCAGTGTTTCTCAGCCTGTAGGTTTCCAGATGTTGTGGCCTACAACTCTGAGAAATCCTAACCAGTTTACCTGCTGTTAGGATTTCTGGGAGTTGGAGGCCAAAACATCTGGGGACCCACAGGTTGAGAACACACTGCTGTAGAGGAACAGAATATTTGTGTGATAAAGTCCATAATAGCATGTTCTCCTTCACAACGAGAATGCAGTGTTTTCATACATGGAAACAATCCATCAAGAAAATGGATCACCAATTATTTCAGGAAAGTGGACCGACAATTATTTTCCCTCTTAACGAAGCATGCCTTTGCATAGCATTTAGTATAATAAGCTTAGGATCTCTTTTGAAAGAGAAAGTGTCAACATTTGTACTAGACACTAACAAGATGCATGGCACTGTGTTATATCAAGAAGACTGCTAATTCCAGCTACAGCTGACCCACTGAATTGGAGGACAGTTGTTACATTGCTAAAACCATAGAATTATGTCCACTGATTTGGCAAGTAGCAATTGGATCTACGTCCAGATTTGATTAAGGAAGAACCATTGAAATAAATGATAGGTTAGTCAAGAATAAATAATCATGCATAAATCTATCTATCTATCTATCTATCTATCTATCTATCTATCTATCATCCCTCTATATAAAAATGCTCTGTGCATAATTAGTACCTTAAAAACAAAAGAACTAATGAACGAAATCACACCAAATTTGGCAACAAAACGTCTCACAACACAAGGAGTGACCATCACTCAAAAAATTATGATTTTGTCATTTGGGAGTTGTAGTTGCTGGGATTTATAGTTCACCTACAATCAAATAGCATGATAGAATTGAACCGGCCGGTGCATACAGGACACCCATGACCAACAGAAAACACTAGAAGGATTTGGTGAGCATTGACCTTGAGTTTGGGAGTTGTAGTTCCAGAGACTACCATGGACTCAAACAATGATGGATCTGGACCAAACTTGGCACAAATATTCCATATGCCCAAATATGAACACAGATGGAGTTTAGGGAAAATAGACCTTGACATTTGGGAGTTGTAGTTTCTGGGATTTATAGTTCACATACACTCAAAGAGCATTCTGAACCCCACCAATAACAGAATTGGGCCAAACTTCCCACACAGAAGCCCCATGACCAACAGAAAATACTTAAAGCCATCCAGTCCAACTCCCTTCACCTGAGGAAAAAAACGTAATCAAAGCCCTCCTGACAAAAAGCCATCCAGCCATAGATATAGATATATATGATTCACACACAGAGAGATACAGTATCCTAGATTAGACCAGACAATCTCTACATCAACACTGACAAAGAAACAGCAAGAATTACTGTTTACCCACAAGCAGAAAGGCATTACATATATTAGAAGCCAACACTTTCTCATTACTTCATTTACCAGATCAACAGACTGGGCCACAGCAACGCGTGGCAGGGGACAGCTAGTATACACATATATAAGTCTAGAAATTTGACAAAAAATCAGTCCCAAAAACCTGGGTTGACATTAATGGGTCAATGTGAATACTGTACCTTATTTCCCATCAAAAAGGAACTATCTCCTTCTCTGAGTAGAGTGTCAAAAAGTAACGACTTAGATCAATTTTTCAAAACAAGCTCCGGCTGATTCAGCCCTTTCGGCCACCCGTAACGGCACACGCTCCACCGCTATTTCCCCTGGCCACAATAAAGCACAGGGCTGCTGAAAATAATGGGTTCTGGGTTTTGTTTTGTTTTGTTTGTTTGTTTGGCTACACATGGAGGGCTGAGAGGCAGCTGCATGGCTGCACTGGGTTTCCCTATGAACTCTGCCTGTTAAGCGAATAGGAACAGAAGAAAGCCTTGATGTGTCTTTTAGCCAAGCTGAGCTTCCATGATTCTGTTGCAAGCAGCCTTCTGAGAAAGCCAGATTAGTGATCTAAATTCTCAGTGCTGCTCGCAGCTCTGCATGGCTTGGCATGCTTTTTGACTCAAATAGCAATAAAAAAGTAGTTTACTTTTTACACACTTAAGAAACTGCCACTGATGGTGCCCATCACACGAGGCAAGTCTTAAATGTGGGGTGGAGGATATATGTATGTGTGTGTGTGTGTGTGTTGTGTTGTGTGTGTGTGTATTGGCTAATACTCCTTTGGGTGGTGTGGCCCCCACTAAAATAAGTGTGTAAAAAGGGTGCCTCCCTTAACTCAGCTTAATTGAAAAGGTGTTAATGGCAAACTATTCCAGAAAGGGCAGTTTCTTAAGTCTGATGCCTTTAAGCCAAGTCTTATTGAAGGATATAAGGAGAAACGATCCCAGAAAGTGCAGTTTCTTAAGTCTGATGCCCTCAAAAGAGGACCCTCATGTCACACCTCAGAGTACATTCACCTTGCTGAAAAACACCAAACTGCACACGGCCAGAAGTCTTTATTGTTTATGAAAAATAAAAGGTAAAAAGTTCTTAAAAGCAAAGGTAAATGTTCCAAAAGATCAATATAAAATAGCACTTGTAAGCTTAATCCAAAAAGGCACCTTTAAGGCCTTATATGGTCTGGGGCCGGTGTACCTGAGGGCCCGCTTATCCCCCTACCAACCCCAGAGATTACTTCGGTCCGAAGACCAAAATTTGCTTGAAGTCCCCAACATCCGGACCTATCACCTGTCCTCTACTAGGCAGAGAGCCTTCTCGATTGTGGCCCCTTATTTATGAATGCCTTGCCAGTTGAAACCCGATCTATCCGAGACCTACTTGCTTTTCGGAAAGCCTGTAAAACCTTTCTCTTCCGACAAGCTTTCGATGGGTGAATAACTCGGGACTATGTCTGTTCTTGTTTCTATTGAATTTTAAAGTAAATTGTATTGTTTTAATCTACTGCTGTAAACCGCTCCGAGCCAAATTGGGAGTAGTCAAATAAATGAATAATAATAAATAAAAGAAAAACCCAAGAGAACATGACCAAGTCCTGAAACCATGAACACAAGAACTCCAAGAATAATCCAAACAAAACAAAGGCAAGCTTCTTGGTAAAATGAAAAGTTGCTTT